TTCTTTTTGCTCACAAATATTTTTGAATTTGTATCCCTTAAAGCAAAACAAAGGGCACTTATACTAAAATCACAACTGCTTCTACTCATTTTTTATATAACAGCTTTGTTGAGATAAAATTCACATACCATACCATTCACGTATTTAAAGGGTACAATTCAATGGTTTTTAGTATATTTGCAAAGCTGTGCAACCATTACTAGAATCAATTTTAGAACGTTTTTATCACTCCCTCTCCAAAAAAAAGCCATACCCACTAGTAATCACTTCCATTTCCCTCCAACTTCTCAGCCCTAAGCAACCATTTCTTCTTTTCTATCCTTATACATGTGCCTATTCTGGGCATTTCATATGCATGGAATCATACAATATGTGGTCTTTTGTTGCTGGCTTGCTCCACTTAGTGTAATGTTTTCCAGGTTCATGTTGTAGCATGTATCAGTATTTCATTCCTTTTTATTCCTGAATAATATTCCATTGTATGGTGTGCAGAAAAGAGTTAACATATAGCAAGCCCGAGATTGCTATCCTTAGAAACTCCTGCTTGAAAGGTTTGCCCTTGGTTGGCATGTGGGAGATTCCCACCATTCCCAAACTTAAGAATGGTTTACTCTGCCTTAACTGTACCAACAATGTGGTTTATGCTGATCATCTTCATTCCTTCTGGGAGTCTGGAATCTTGGTACCATGCTTGGCAGAGAGTGCCTACATGACCTGCTCCCAGTAAAAACCTTAGAGACCTGGGCCTAGTGAATTTGTGCTTCCAAATATCCTTAATCTTTTCCTAATATCTTTAAGTCTTCTCTATCTCCACCCCTGTCCACACTCAGCTAATGACAGATTGCTTAACTGGCTGAAAAAAATAAAAGGAACTAAAACTAGTTATCCATTTATCTCCATAACAACTGATGGACCTACACCTGTACTCATATAATCTTCCCTCCCTTCTATACAATGGAAGAACTGTCTCTACTCCATCCTGTGCGTTGGATCCCATCTCCTCTCACTTAAGAACTTGGCTTCTGCAATAATCCTTCCATCCCCAGCTACATTACCAGTTTTTGCCTCTCTACTGGATCCTTAACCACCATCATACAACCATGGTGTGATATTGAAATAAGAAATCAGTCATCACAAAAAGAGCTATGTTACGTAAACTGTCAGTTAGCCATACAGTTAAACTATCAGAGACCCAAAAACACACCCCCTCAAAAAAAAAACAACCCATTTATGTTCTAGTGCTCTTGAACAACTATATCAACTTTGAGAAATGTTTCAACTATCTTTACAAATAGCTTTCAAATTTGTTAAAACTACTCTTATGGTCAGCACCACAGAATAGTACGCAATGTATTTGTTCTTTTGGGGTCTTCCAGGATTTGAGTCTAGTTATTCGTCTAGAAGCAATGAAATGAGAGATGATAGATATGGGTCTTGAGGAGAATCAACATTCCTCTGCAAAGCAATTACTTCAGGATAGGTCCTTGCAGATTCCTCAGGCAAAGGGAGGCTAATCTCCAGATAGTAGACGACCAGATTCCTATTGCTGCTGTAACAAATTACCACACATTTAGAGGATTAAAACAACACAAACTTATTATTTTACAGTTCTGGATATCTCATTGGCTAACTTAAGGTGTCAGCAGGGCTGTGTTCCTTCTGGAAGCTTTAAGAGAGAATTTCCCTGCCTTTTCCAGCCTCTAGAGGCCACATGCTTTCCTTGGCGAGTGGCTCCTTCCTTCATCCTCAAAGCCAGCAGTGGATGATCTTCAAGTATCTCTTTCTGACTCTGACTCTGACTCTCCTGCCAGCCTCATATAAGGACCCTGTGATGACACTGGGCCCACACAGATAATCTAGGATAATCTTCCCATTTCAAGAGAAGCCTTAATTTGGGTCGGCCAAGTGGCGCGTTGGTTAAGAGTTGGCTTGGGATGCCGGCTCTGAGCAGCAGGGCCCCGGTTTGGATCCCACTACGGCCAGTGACGCTGTGCCCTGTACAGCTANAATTGTATTATCCATGTTCTCTGGTGTTATTCTAACAAACTTAGCAATTTCATTGATTACTATTCCAGTCTTACAGCTATGTTCATAAGATTAGGAATATTAAAAATTAAGTTGTCTATTGGGTAGGCAGTGCTTTTATTCCATTCTCTTTGATGTGTCTTTCATAATGGTGACAGAGACTAGACCTTTAGCTAATCTTAATGTCTGAAAAATTATCCATTACCTTACCAAGATTTGATAGGATGTCAACCACAAGATGCTAAATTTCACTGATTAAAAAGATTCAGGGACACTGCAGGTATATAATTTTTTGCTTATGGGAGATGAGTCTATACCATTTGAATTGATCCTAGCATTAGGTAAAGTCAGTGTTTTCTATAAACATTCCTCAAACTTTCCAACCTAATAGAACTGCCATCTACTGTGGTATCAACTCTGAGCAAAACCAGTGCAACTTGATCTTGCATATAGTCATTCAAAAGTGTATTGGCCATAAAAATACGGGCTGTTTTAGAATTGGCTGGGGGTGTGGGTGTTTATTTTGTATTGAAATAGTCATGTTGGATGTGGAATTTTAGCAAGTTTTGGTTGAAGACAAAATGACTTCTCAACCACTGCTTTTTATAAACTAGAAAAGAATGTGGTGGTTTGGGGATTACAGGGTAGTGTGTTTAAGTGGCAGTTTTAATCTCTGATTTTACTCTTGTCAGTACTTACGAGGTGTACCACTTGGGGACACATATCAATCTCTGTTGGGACTGAGGTGTAGTTTGAAAAAGGATATTCAACTTAATCTCTCAGTAAAAATCTAGGAATTTCAAAAAACAATGCTTAATTATATTGTGGTTTATCAAAGAACTCTTAGAAATATGTGAAAAACACTACCCTGCAGACAANTCTTTAAAAAAAAAGAAAAAGACATAATACCATGTTTTCCTGAAAATAAGACTAGGTCTTATATAAATTTTTGCTCCAAAAGATGCACTTTATTCATGTACAAAAATCTACATTTATTCAAATAGAGTCATGTGTGGCTGGGGCTTATTTTGGGGAAGGGCTTATATTACGAGCACCCTGAAAATCATGCTAGGGCTTATTTTCCAGTTAGGTCTTATTTTCAGGGATGCACGGTAGCTGGTAAGTAAAACCACTGTGTGCTGTTGCCTGGCGTCTAAGGACTTAGGACAACAGGCTGTCCACAGAACACTTCTTCCCAGACTGGGCGGATTCTATGGAATCCTATAAGAGATCTTAGACTGTCAATTTATCATATATATTGGGTTGTTGGAAAAGTCATGATGTATTTTTTGTTTTTCATTGCAAAAATGTGTCATGACTTTTCCGACAACCCAATAGTTAAGCTACATCATATACTCATTCAATTCTAAGAGAGAGAGAGAGAGAGAGAGAGAGAGAGAGAGAGAGAAACCAAAGCCATAAACAGTGCTAGCAATCTGTCTGCCATTCCATTAAATGGGGGTGTTCTGCTCCCTGGGACGGTCTCAGTGCCCCAGTGTCTCTTACAGTGTGAGTGGCTCAGTGTGAGGCTAATGTTTGACACAAAATATTTTTCATTTGCAACATCTTAATGTAAACTACTTCCTCTGGTGTTCATGGAAAAAAGCAGGGATTGTGATTGTTTCAACCCTAAAGGAAGGATGGCTGCCTGACTTACTGAAAGGTGGAGAACAGCCTCCAAACAGGACTGACTTCCTAAGTGCATTTCAATGGCCATTTCTGACATTACTCAATCTTCACAGCATACACTGACTGTAGAATCAAATCCCCAAATAAAGACTCAACTGTGGTTTTTTTTCTGGTTCACTTCTAAACCTATCACCAAGAGGTAGTGTAAACTCAAATTTGTTCCCATATACTTTTATGGTACTTCGTATTGATTAAAGTGTTCTCTTATCAACTGAGTCATTTAACATACATAGCAGCCAAGCAAAGACACAACAAGCACTGTGGTTCCCATTTCAGAGGAAGAGTTGAGTCAGGCAATTTGGGTTCAAATCCCAGGCATTGTTCAATTTTTCAGAGCCTCAGTGTCCTAATCAGTAAAATGCATACAGTTGCGCATGCCTCACAGTTTTTGAGGGTAAGTCAAGTGTACAAGTGGCATGTATACAGTACTCCGTGTTTCCTTTCACCATTCCACAGGAAATAGGGCTACAAGTTCACACATCGAATGTGATCAAAGATATCCTCTGCTAAAAGTTTTTTTTTTTTTTATTGAAGTAAATTTGTGAAATGCTACTCTCTTGAAGACTCACAAAGCATGTGTGTGTGTGTGCATGTGTGTATGAGATAGAGAAGCCGTGCAACAAACAAACCTGGTTGAACATGTACAGAACATTTCCCAAAAGTGCATTTAATAATGGAATCCTTTTTTGCATAATTACTATAAACATCCACATAGACCTACTGTTCTTCTGAACATACTTTTAGATAAATTTACCCTTTCAGTAACATTGTTTTGATAAACTAACATATAACAAGTTAATATTGTATTGTAGTTCTTAATAAAAATAATCAATAGGTTATAGGACAAGGCACAAGAAAAACCAGGGCTACCTGAAAATTCATCGTGACACTTCAGTCTTTGCATTTTGCGGGACTAGAAGCCTCAAGGACCTAGATCGCGGCCGCCGCCTAGCTAGGTCGGACCAAGCACCTGCGGGGCGGGGAGAACCTACTGCGCCTCACGTTGCCGCGGCGGGCCATCCCTCCTCCGCCCTTTTTCACCACCACCTCCATCCCTTCCTACCCATCTGCACCTAACCAAGGACAGGGATAGGGGACGGTGCAGATGGGGCCGGGAGAAAAAGCATCCCCGCAACCCGCCGCAGCCTTTCTTCTTCCTCCCATCCCACAGCGGGTGCAAAGTCACACCTCTCCTACCCCTCGTGTCTCTGGTGAAAGGTCTGTCAATACTTGAAAAATTTTGTTTTTAAGCACAAGTAAATTCCCTGCTCCCTTCCGCCCCTCACCTTCACGAAAGCAATCGGGGTTGTGGTACCTTCGATATCTAACAGGATCACAGTTACTTCAGCGGGCACCGAAAGCACGACCATTTCCCTACCGGATGCTACTACGGGAATCGGCCTACTGGTAGGGAGGGTGGAGGGCGGTGCCGATTGCGCCCCAGCACGGTCCTGGGATTTCGACAGCTCCGCAAGAATCTCGCAGCGTGCAACCGCGTGCGGCTTGAAGTACGAGGGGAAGAGGCCACTTCCACGCCCCTGAAAGTGGAGAAGGCGACCACACAAGGGACCTGAACTCGGAAGCTGCCCAGAGCCAGAGGCTGAGACCACGTGGGTAGGGAGAGGGGCGGAACTGGCGGAGCTCCGAGAGGGCGGGAGGAGGTAAAGACGCCGACACCGATTGGCCGCCAGAGGGCCTCGAACCCGATCCGTCAAAATGGGCCTCGCGTGGGCGGGAACAAAGAAGCGAACGCGGGAGCCCGGTGCGCGGGAGCGCGCTCTCCGCAGACTGGTTGAGCGAGCGGGAGAGGCCCGGGGCACGTGCAGACAGGAGCCCCGCGAGTGGCGCGCCGGGGATGTGAGTGCCCCTTGCCTTCTACGGCACCTAGCCCCCTCCCCGCCCACTGCCCCTGCTTTTGCATATTTACAGTAATCTGACCGGGCCCGCGCCCCTCCTCCCGTCCTAAGCCTTCAGGAGGCCGTGCGGGGTCCTGGTTGGCCTGACTGCGCTAGCCCGGGGTCCGGCCGATCTACCAGGGAGGCCCGCCGCGCCCTCTCGGCCCGCGCGCCCGTGGCGGTAGCGGAAGAGGCGCCGGCGCCGCGCCGCTGCCCAGAGGGGCTGCCGCGCGCCCGCTTCCTGTTCGGCTGGTTCCAGCCAGCTCGAGGACAAAACACGCGTGCGCGCGGCGGACGGCCAGGCGCGCTCGCCGCCTCAGCCGCGGGTGCCGGGGGCAGTCCGCCTTTTTCCGGAGCAACCCGGCCACGGTGCTAATCGATAGCAGCCGCCGCAGCAGCTCCGCACTGGGGGACAGAGGGCGGAAAAAGGCGGGGTTGACGGCTCTTTGCTAGGAGTGGGCTGGACCGGACGCCAGAGACAAAAGGCTCTCAAGGCAAGAGGGACTCGGCCGTGCGACGGCGCTGCTCGGGATTTTTTGACCCCAGGACTTGACGCTCCTTCGTTTTTTTCTTCTGACGCTTCTCTTATCCCAAGCCCGCGCCCCCTCACCCGCGACCTCGCTCCTCACCGGAGGGCCGCGATGGAGGTCCCGCCCCGGCTTTCCCATGTGCCGCCGCCATTGTTCCCCTCCGCTCCCGCTACTTTAGCCTCCCGTAGCCTCTCCCATTGGCGGCCGCGGGCGCCGCGGCAGCTCGCCCCACTCCTCCCTTCGCTCGCTTCCAGCTCCGCCCGGCAGGGGGCGCGCCGGGCCCAGCGCCACGTCACCGCCCAGCCGCCCTCCCGATTGGCGGGCGGGGCAGCTATAAAGGGAGGGCGCAGGCGGCGCCCGGATCTCTTCCGCCGCCATTTTAAATCCAGCTCCATACAACGCTCTGCCGCCGCTGCTGCCGCGACCCGGACTGCGCGCCAGCACCCCCCGGCCGACAACTCCGCCACTATGGAGGACATGAACGAATATAGCAACATAGAGGAATTCGCAGAGGGATCCAAAATCAACGCAAGCAAGAATCAGCAGGATNTTGACCCACAGCCAAGATCCATAGTACTATCAGGTGAGTATTTTTTAAAGATTTTATTGGGGAATTGCGGGAGGGGAACAGACAAGTTGCTGTTCTTTGGTTCTTCAGTCTAGCTGTGGAGGACACTGCTTCACTGGCCCATGTTGGTATTGTGATCATTTCGCTCTTCCCGGCTGAGGCAGTTGGTTGCTGGCTGTTGGCCGCTCACGGCAGCTCAGGGCAGCTCTTGCGGCTGCCAGCCACTCAACGGTAGCTTTACAGGAGCCCACTGCGGTCCCACTTAAGCCTACATCGTCGCTGGTGACTCATGGCAGCCCAGCTCCAGGTTGAGCTGTTGTTCATCATCTTAGCTGTACAGGGCGCAGCGTCACGGGCCCATGTGGGATCCGAACCGGCAACCCTGCTGCTCAGAGCTCACACTCCCAAGCTAACTCTTAACCAACTGAGCCATTTGGCAGGCTCTGAGTAGTTTTTTTTTAATCTGAATCTTTTAAATTTGGGTGTAAAACTTGCTCCTTGATGAAATGAAATCAATCTTTCTTCATTAAGGATACCAAGAGGCAAATATTGCTTTCTGCCTTCAATAGAAACAATCAAGCGAATACTCTTAACCAGGAAATATACAGGCATTACTTACTATTCTCTTGACAGTTCTCCCAGAAAATGTATACGAACTCTTGGTATAATTTAAGAATAACAGTTTATTAACTCCACTTGTTGCCATGAGAAAGGAAAAAAAAGCATTATGTGAAGATATCAGATGTTCTCATTTTATTATTCCATAAGTTACTCCTAAGAGCATATCCTGTTCTTTTTTTTTATGTCATATATTCACATTTCCATGCATTAGACGATCCTACATATAGAATAAGACTATATACTCAGGTGTACATATATACCTACATAAGATAAAAGGTATATAATTTTTCAAAAATTACTTCTGCTTTCAGCAAATATTGGCCTGAGTAATTCAAACCAATCCTTCTGAGGCTAAGCAGGATAAAATAAAATTTTAAAATCTTAAAAAAAAACTGAAAGAGCTAAAAAGATGAGAAATTAACCTAAAATCTAAGAGAAAGTCAAAACCTAGAACAAAAGCCCAGCACTCAAAGCTGGATTTGATGGCCTTACAGGACAAGGGACACAAGTCAAAAGCTTAGGTCCAACCCTAGGTGTAGACTCTGCTACCCCAATTACTCCATTAAAGGGCTTCGAAAGGGCTACACTCTCAAGACCAGAGATAACCCAGGTTTCTAACCTTGGTTGTTAAGAAATCCTTAATCTCAGAATTTAGATTAAGATAGTCCTAGAAAGGTAAGGGCCTCAAGTGCATGGAAGAAACAAATGAAAATCATTACTTCATCCTTAATTTCTGATTGTTTCTACAAATATTGTTTTCTAACATAGAAATTTAAAAATCACTTTCCCTGGCTTCCTTACTGCCAGAGCACAAATATGTGATCTCAGTTCTATCGGAATTCTCCTACGTTAGACTTTGAGACAGGAGCTAGTGAGTCAAATTGATTTAGTGTAATCAATNATACAGTAAGTCCCCGATTTACGAACGAGTTCCGTTCAGGGACAATGTTCATAAGTCGGATTCGTTCGTAAGTCCAACAAAGTCAGTCTTTGCGGTCCCCTCCACATCACCACTGCTTTTCCTCTTGCTTCCGGACATCCTGGGCTCTGATGGAGCACTGTACTACTGTACACTATTGCACTGCACGGTAAGCACACAGCAGCACAACTGTGACAATATCTGGCAGACACGTGAGCTACTTCCGCGATTTGTTCACATCTACGAATGTTTGTAGTGTGAGGTCCGTTTGTATCTGTGAAAGTTCGCAACTCGAATGTTCGTAAGTCGGGGACTTACTATACCTCTCAGGTATGATCTATTATGCTTTCTTCCCTTCACTCTATTCAGCCAGACTGGCTTCCATTGTTCATTGAAAGTGCCAAGTACACTCCTGCCTTTGCCTTGTAGTCTTTCTAAGCTATTGTATGGATTTCTCTGTCACTTCCTACAGGGCTTACTCAAAGTTACCTCCTTAGAGTCTTCTCTGATCACCCTAAAATAGTACACAATCTATCTCTAGCACCTCACTCATTACTTTTCTTCCTATCACACTACCTTAAATTATATTACACCTCTACTTGTCTGTTGTTTGCCTCTCCCAATGAATGTCAGTTCCATGAGATGAAAGACATTGTCTGTTTTGGACAGTTGTATTCCCAGCACCAGAAATATACCTGTGCCATATGTTGCATGGTTCAATGTGAATGAGTCTAACCAGAAATAACCCCACTATTGATGTTCTAAGAAGCATTTAGATGAATCAAGATATATTTTGGAGGTAGGAGTTGATGGATTGGGTATATGCGCGGTTATCAAGGACTCCCTGATTTCTGCCAGGAGCACATGGGTGAGGAAGTTTTACTTAATAAGAGGAAGACCAAAGAAGCTGAATTGTTGGGAAGGGAGAGTTCAATTTAGACATGTAAAGCTTGAGATGCCTCTGGGACATCCAAGTGATGTTAATAAGGCAGTTGGATATGTACGTCTGGAGTGAGATGACATTGTCTTATTGAATCCTTTTTGAGCTAGGTCTTCTTAAAATTGAATCTACAGATACCACACTGACATCTTTCAGGTTAAGCAGAACTCAGACTCTACAATAGACTTGCTGATGTAAAATCTGACAGTTCACAGTAATGAGGCCTCTAGTTTCTCAAGTGAAGTGACAGCTTCCTGACAACCAGGAATAATACTTATTTACTGTTTGGGCAATTGGTCACTTCACCTAAACTCACAAGCTAATTCTTCAACAAAATGCTTAAATCCTACTGAGGGTCTTCTCCAAGTTAAGGTACTGTTTAATATGGTTGTACAAGAGCTCAAATATGTGTACCTTGCATAGGAAATGGGTTCTTCCTGTTCTTTCTTCTGGACACTGTTTATTCTAGGTTACTGAATGGCATGCATATTTTACTTTAAAAAATTTGAGCATAGGATATGCTTGCCCTGTTTGTAGAGTGTATTTAGCAGATTAAAACTGACTCCCTGACTTAGGTGTCTGTACATCTTGTCCTGGGTAAAAGTGATACCAGTTTCAATCTCAAATGAACTTTTTTGCCTCTTACAATTACTCGTTTTCTCCAGTTATTGCTTCACAAAGGCTGAATTCAATCTGAATTCAATGAGGATCCTGTATTTCAGTGTTATCTGAAACACACTGTAAAGTCCTTAAGCAATGGAATTTTTATGTCATGGACATTGAGAGGGGATACTGCTTCCTTGCTGTGGTTTGGGCCAGTTTAATACAGCGCCAATATACAATCTTCAGCCACTTAAACGTTAAATTCTTATCTGTGAATGTAGAATAAAAGTTTTTTGGTTTTCTCCTTCTTCAGGAATTTCACATGTCAGAAAGTGGTTTGAGGAAGTGTTTTTATGCCAGTGATGATATGGAGAGAGGAGTCTTTTAATTCCCTGGAAGCAAACCTAGTTTGCCTGAAAGGCCCCAAACCTAGCAAGTTGAAAATATCTAGTATTTTGTCATTCCATAATTCGACAGGCAATTATTGAATTGTACAAATTCAATAATAATGTAAATAATATAAATGTGTACAAATGTGTATGTAAGTGACGTAGGGTAGATACATAGAACATTGTCTTTGCTCTTCAGGAAATCATGATCTCATATAATTGTTTATTTTTTGGAAAGAAAAAATGTAAATTTTTTAATAAAAACAATCCCATAACATTATTGTCATCTGATAATACTATAAAGGTAATGAAAGCAACATAAATGTTTAAGAACTATACTCCTAACACAGGACACCTAAAAAACCCCATAAATTATACTGCCTTCTCGACAGTTTCTCACTTCATTAGTCATTTCTATTGTAGCTGGAGACACTTTGGAGCAGAGTAATATTACATCCTTTTAGCATGATCCGACCCAGCTGTTTCCTTGACTTTGTTTTAGAATGAAGCTCTTCTGCACCATCTGATACGACGTTAATATACTCATCCAAAATCAATGATACAACCCTCTATGTGCATATTCACTTGCTCATAAGGCCACACCTGAATCCGAGATCTATTTTGCAAGTGTCTGAAGATGAAGTTGACGGGCTGTACCATCACCTTCTGCACTTTTTGGCCCTGGCCATGATATACATTGGTGGAAGCTGACAAAAACCACACTAACCCACAGGCTACTTCCAGAATACAGAGCCTGAATTGAAAGCCCAATTGCATATTTATAATAACAGAAGGATAAAGGGCTGTTAGAATGATTAATTCTGCCTCAGGGAGCCTGGGAAAACTCACAGAAGTAACATGTGATTAGGGTTTTGAAGGATGAATAGTTTGCTAGACAGATGAGGAATGTATAAAGAACTAGGGTTGAGTTCTAAGAGGAATGCTGGGTGCATATAGGAGCATAGGATGCAGAGATTTGGATCATAATATATAGAGATGAATGATATGGTATCATCCATACTCACATAAAGTTGTTAGCTTTAAAATCATTCTTATTTTTTATACAAATTTCACCAAGTTCAGAAACTACTGAGCTACATGTGCAATTGAAACGAACCTTTTGGGAAAGTCTATTACTAAAAGGTGGAGCATGTCTAAAGTTGTTTTAAGAGCAAAAGAACCCTTT